TAGAGAATTAGCTTCAACTGAATACTACCATATTAGCTGAAAAATCCAAGCTGACTACCTAAATGTGCTGGCTTAAATTGTTCCTCCATTCAGTTAACACTTGTGTAATTGTCTTGTTTTAAAAGGCTGTGCGTAAAGGTGCATTAAACAAAAAAATACTAAATTTATATCTTAGTCATTTTCTGGAAGTCACTTTCAAAATAGGTCAGCCAGCAGGCCAGCAAATGGCATAGTGATTATTACATTGCTGGACTCCACATGGCTGACTGCAGTTCAAGTCCCAGACCCAGTGGCTTGAGACTCATGCTGGGCTCATGTGCGTGCATGCCCAAGATCCTAGAAGGAGAATGGAGGAAAAGGGATTGTGGCATGACCATCTTCTTGGGGGAGGGGGAGTTGATTTCTCACTTTCCCTTTCACTGTCTCTGTCTCTCTCTCTGGTGAGTGCACGTACCCTAAGGCAAAAACCTCTAAGGAAAAAAAAAATATGCCAGCCAGCTCTGAAACATAATTGACCTGCTTTGTATTTGGCATATGTGTGTGTGAGTATTTAATGAAAATGAATAAGGCATACAGTGTTAATAAATATTTATAATGATGACAGTTTAGGGTAAGCAAAAAAAAAAATTAGGTCATGTTTTAGTTTTTTGTTATTTTAAGCAATAGAATAGGGCTAGAAAGTGGTATGGTGGTTAAGGTGCTGGATCCCACATGACCAACTCTGCAGGTTCAAGTCCTGGACCCAGTGGCCTGAAAAACTTTCAGAGCATGTGTCATACATGCTCAAAATAAGGAGAGGAGAATGGGGGAAGAGGGATTGCAGTGTGGCCATCCTTCTGGGAGGTTCTTTCTCACTTTTCCTATCTGTCTCTTTCTGTTTCTCTCCAACAAGCACATGCACTCTATGGCAAAAAAACAAAAAACAAAACAAAATGTAAGAGTAGAACCAACTCTGTGGTACAGTGGTATTTTGCTACTCAGGAGAAGTTGGATGACATGTAGCAACTGAGGTTTGAATTTTTACTCTGGTCAGTCTGAAAAACACACTCCGCACATGCCCAAGTGCCAAGACTGATGAGCTGGAGTACTGGAAAAAGGGGACTGTGGCATGACCAGACTCATCTCTGTCTGTGCCTCTCTGTCACACTGTTACATGTGTGTACTTGCACTCTGTCATGAACAAAGGAAAAAACTTATTTTAAAATGTAAAAAATATAGATAGAGTAGAATAATGATTTAAAAGATGACTTCTGGGGACAGCAGGTGGTATGGTGGTTGAGGCTCTAGATTCCCACATGGCTGGCTGCAGCTCGAGTTCTGGACCTGGCAGCTTGCTTTCTTACTTCCCCTCTCTCTGGCAAGTATGTATGCCCTGTAGCAAGTTAAAAAAAAAAAAGATAAATAAAATTTAAAAAATAATTCTTTAAAAGATGACATTCATATTAAACCACCAAATTTCAGCTCACTTCTTGGCAACTATATTTTCCCCTAGAGATGGTTAGGGCTTCCTGTAGTAGAAAATTGAAAGTAATTTTTAAAAAAATTATGAAGCATTTCAAACTTACAGAAAATATGTAATAGACAATAACATATCTACATTCTAGCTTTAATAAACATTAACAGTTGATAGGTTAACGCTGAAGTAGAATAAAGCTGAATATGTGGTCAATCAGGAGCCTACGAGCTTGAAATTACAAATAGACTTCTATTTGCTGGACTTTCAGCTACGTACTATTGCATAATAGAAGTTAGCTGACTCCACAGACAGGAAAGGTAAGAAAAATCTAATTCAGGAAATTAAAATACTTGAAATTTTTAAAAATAAAAATGGCCAGTTGTGAAATTTACTTTATTTCAGTGGTTCTCCTATGGGAGCTGACTTACCAACCAGAAATCAAGTGTGGGAGATAGGGAAAGCCCAGTTCATCAGAAAGACTGTAAAAGCGCACAGCCCTGATGGTGCATGAAGTGTGGGTGGGATCTTGTAGACCGGCAGCATTTGCTCTCATACTGGGTGTTCCCAAACCAGCTGGCACCAAGTCATCTTGTGGGTGTTTGATTTTGTTAATACTCTTTTTGTAAGTTACAAAAGAAAAATGTGTTTATTGTTTTTTTTAAAAAAGAATACAAATGAGCATAAAGACGAAAAAAAAAAGTCACTTGTAACCCCACTGTTTACTTCCTGTTCATTTTTATGATGGTATTTTGTAATCCGTTCTTATCAACTAACATATTGAGAACATGTTTCTATGTCACAAATATTCTTCTATAGTTCTTTCTTCTTTTTTTTTATAGATTTTTGCTGTAGGGTATGTGCGCTCACTGGAGAGACAGAGACAGAAAGTGAGAAATCACACCCCCAGAGGGGGATGGCCCTTCTCCTCCAGTCTCCTCCTGGGATCTGTTTTTTTTTTTTTTTTAATTTTTTTTTTTTTTGTCATCTTAATCTTTTTTATATTA